CCCCCCCCGCCACGGGAAGTGCAGTGTCGTTCCCAGGTGAAAACAGTGTTGAGGGGACTCATTTAGAGAGCTTTCACCTAGAGCTCTTTTAAAACTTCAGGTCAGGGCTGGGAGGTAGCTCAGTGGTCGAGTGCTTGCCTTGCACTCATGAGACCCTGGATTCGATCCCTCAGCACCACATAAGCAGAAAAAGTGGCAAGTGGCACTGTGGCTCAAGTGATAGAGCGCTCGCCTTGAGCTGAAGAGCTGAGGGACAGCGCCCAGGTCCAGAGTTCAGGCCCCATCACCTACAAATAAAAAGTTCAGGTCACTTTTATTTGAATTCACCCACTATGCTCCTAATATTTTCTCCATGTCTGGGTTTCATAGGCAGGAGTGCATATTGGGAGAGTCTGTGTGCAAGAATCCTGAATCAGATCCAGAGGACTTTTCTGATGAAACGAATACCGAAAACCTTTACGGCACTTCTCCCCCAAGTACGCCCCGACAGATGAAGCGCATGTCCACCAAGCACCAGAGGAACAGTGTAGGGAGGCCCGCCAGCCGTTGTAATTTGAAAGGTGAGTCTTGTAACTTAAAAAAAATATTATATAAGAAAGCCAGGCAGTTGTAGTATATAATCTGTTTTAAAAATGTGTAGTCTTATTGTATTGTTAACAGAGGAGTTTCATTTCATTAGTCAGGGATTGAGCACCCGTTCCTTTTTTCATTAGCCAGGGATTGAGCACCCGTTCCTTTTTTGGTCTCTGTTAGCCTTTCCTTCACTCTCCCCCAGTTTCCCCTCGCATCCTTGCCCACAAGTTGCATAGTTCACTTTCCACATGGTGTCGGCTAAATAGCATGACTGCATTTGTTCATCCTTCCTCCCTCCCTTTCTGCACTCTCCCTTTGCCCTCCCTAAAAGGACAAAAAAAAACAAAAACAAAAACAAAAAAAACAAAACCCCAAAAGTCAAAACAACTACCACCACCACTGACAACAACAACCAAAAAACCCGTTCTTTTTCCTGGAGTTTGTTAAATGTTTACAGGAGATACACCTTTGGGTTCCTTCCCCAAGGATAGCCTCCTTGAACCTGACTATGTGTGAACCCTTAGAGTTCTGTACACATTATCATGTCCCTGTATTCTTTAGAGCTAGCTTCCACATGGGAGAGGAAGCAGGTGCCGTTTGTCTCTCTGAGCTTGATTTACCTCAATTAGCATGATTTGTTCTTGGTCCGCTCATTTCTCTGCAAATGACAACTCTTATTCTTTCTAGAAAGTGGATGGATAAAATTCTGTTGTGTATTTGCACTGCATTTTTTGATCAATTCATCTATTGTAGGGCATCTGTACTTTTCCATACCTTGACTATTGTCACTAATACAGCAACGCACATGGATGTTCAGGTGTCTTTACTGTGTCCTGACTTGTAAGGTTCTGGGTAGATGCCCAGGAATGGTATGGCTGGATCATAGGGAAAAGCGCTGCTGTTCAGAGTGGTTGTCCTAGCTTACATTCCCATCAATAGTGCAGTAGGGTTCCTTTTTCTCTACATGGTATATCATCTTTAAGGGATGAACTGTTAATTGATCTTTTTTACAGTAAGTTTGGTAATTCTTTTTATTTTAAATTTGATTTTGATATATGATGTTGCTTTTTTTTTGTGGGTCATGGGGCCTGAACTCTGTGTCTGGGCACTGTCCCTCAACTCTTCAGCTCAAGGCTAGCGCTCTACCACTTGAGCTATAGTGCCACTTCCAGCTTTTTTTTTTTTTTGGTTGGTTGTGGGGTTTGAACTCTGAGCCTAAGTGCTGTCCCTCAGCTCTTCAGCTCAAGGTGGCACTCTACCACTTAAGCCACAGCGCCACTTCTGGTTTTCTGGTGGTTTATTTGAGATAAGAGTCTCATGGACTTTCCTGCCCAGGCTGGCTTTGAACCACGATCCTTAGATCTCAGCCTTCTGAGTAGCTAGGATGACAGGTGTGAGCCACTTGTGCCCGGCTTACTTCCAGCTTTTTCTGCTTATATGGTGCTAACGAATTGAACCCAGGGCCTCATACATGCGAGACAAGCACTCTACCACTGAGCCACCTTCCCAGCCCCATATGTTGATTTTAAGTTTTGTTAATTCTTGAGTTGTTGCCATTAGCAAATAAATAAATGAAGATAGAAAAGTTTGTCCTCAGTTATGGCTACCGTCAGTAGGATGAGTCGTTTGAAGATAGGAAAGGGGCCAGATGGCTGATATGGGATAGATTGCTCTCTGTTTTCTCAGTCTCTCAGGCCAAGGCTTCTAGATTTCTGTCTGTCCAGCAATGGTATACTGAGGATGTAGAAAGAGACAAAGCCAAACTCTCCCTGGATCCCTGTGCAGCCTGAGATTCTGCCATCCACTAGTGACCTTTGGTGCTGTTGCTAGTGGTTGGAACTCTTTCCTGCTAAGCAGCACTAGATGGCACCCTGGCACCTTGTCACCATGGATATAACGTGTTTTCAGCTTTACTCTTTATGTGAGATCCTACAGCACAAGTAGCTGCATTAGGCCAAACTTCTGCCTTCTTTTCCTCTTATGTGTGACTGGCATCCCAGGCCACTGAAAACTTAGGGTTTTCAAGTTCCCTGTTAGTGTAGTGCCAAGCCATTTGCTTTGAATCAGATCCCACAGCTTCCTGGAGCCCATTCACTTCTTAGCACACCAGACCTGGACTTCACTTTTACCTCATCTGAGACATTTTACCCTGTTGACCTAAAACTCAGCCTGTCCCTTTCCAAGCCAGCCCTTTCCATACACAGTATACTGTTGATCTCTGGTGGTTGTAGCCTGGTTTGTTCCATCTGCATCTCCATTGGAGCTGTTGCTGAACACAGGGAGAGGCTAGAGAGATGGGTTTTATTGTACTAGTGCTCAGACCCTAGCAGCATAGTGTGGTAGGCAAGAGCATAAGTGTAGTTGCCAGATCTTTGGATTCTGGTCAGATCCCAAAACTCTGGTTAGATCCCAAGATGCTGGTCAGATCCCTGGACTCTGGTCAGATCTCCTCGATTCTGGTCTGGTCCCTGGGTTCTGGTCTGGCCTCCCCTATGTCCTAGATATGCAGCGGTGTGTCTTATTCTCTATATCTACAAAATAACCTGCCTGTTTGGGTTACATATTAACTGTTGTTGTTATAAACTAGTATTTTCTCATACTTAGTACTGTTTCCTTGTCTTAAGTCTTGATGTAAAATTCAATGATTGCCTTGTTTATGTATTCTTATTAATTGGTGGCTCCATTTTCAGGACAGCAAGCCTCCCATTAAGTAAGTGAATGTCTCAAGTTACGTGCCTGGCATGCCGATGTTTCCTGCATGCTTCCTGGACCTCTTCCTAGCCCTTCATTTCTTCACTGTGTGTGCTACTGACACAGTTTTTCTTGTTGCTATTTTCTTACTTAGTTCCCTCCTTTGCTTTTTTCCCTCCCTTGCTTTGCCTTCTCTCTTTGTTGTTTCCTTAGTCCTTTTTTTTTCTCCTTCCTCGGTCCCTCCCTCATTTTGCCTTCGTTCTTTCCATTGAGTCAGAATTTGAGTGGCTCCATACCCCTGTCCTGTTTTAGATGGTGAATGGACCTCATCCTAGTGGGGAGCACAGTGCTTCCAGGCTGCATGCCCTGGCAGGGACAGGGGCGCGGCCCTGAGGCTGCCTTCAGGGGAGGGTATTTAGAAGACTTAGAGAACACATGATGTTTGTACCATGACCTTAAAGCTGAGTCAGAGAGACCACGATTTTACACCAGCATGTGATTCATAACAATATGTTGGGCACTCAGTACTTTGAAAGGCTTTTTAGAATGAATTGCATTGCTCAAATTTATTTTAAAAGCTTTCCATGGAAAAATGAACTGTTACATTATTTCTTTTTCACCGCAATAAGTAAAATCTCTCTGAATCATACTACCGACTTTAGAACTGTGGTCATTGTTGGACTTTACAAACAGTCACTGATAATATTTGCATTATTCTGATTATCTGTTATTGGGTACCAAACTACTGCTTTGGTGTCTGGCACTCTAGGGGAGTGGCTCAGTTCACCGGAGTGCTGGCTTGTCTGGAGCCCCAAGTTGTAGCCCTCAGCCCTCTGCATTTCATATCTACTGTGTTTCAGATGCCCTCATATCTGGACCTTAGTTGATATGGCCAGAATTACTGAGTGCGGGTGGCCACTGTTTTCTTTCCACGTGGCCTTTCATAGGGCTAGTCTGGGCTTTTCACAGCCTCCACTGACTACAGAGTAGTTGGGCTTAAATATGTGGCAGCTGGCTTCCTCAGAGCAGGGGTTTGAAGAAACCATGGAAACTTCTTTTGACCTAACCTCAGAAGTCATGAAGATCACTGTTTTTGTTTGTTTGTTTAATTTTTTTTTTTGATCGGTTGTGTAACTCTGGGCCTGGGTGCTGTCCTTCAGCTCTCCAGCTCAAGGCAAGTACTCTACCACTTGAGCCACAGCGCCAATTCTAGTTTTCTGGTGGTTAATTGGAGCTAAGAATCTCACAGACTTTCCTGCCTAGGCTGGCTTTGAACGAAATCCTCAAACCTCAACCTCCTTAGTAGCTAGGATTACAGGCGTGAGCCACTGGCACCTAGCTCAGATCACTTTTTTTTCCTTCTTCTCTTGGTGGTACTTGGAAAACACAGGGCCTTGAGCTTGAGAGCTTTTCATTCCTTGCATCCTTCTACCTCAGCCTCTAAGTAGCAAGTGCCATCCATCCCATCCTGTTTCTAAGATAGGGTCTCACTTTTGCCTAGGCTGGTCTTGAACAGAGATTCTCTTATCTTTGCTTAGAGAAGCTAGAATTGTAGATTGTGTTTTGTCCTGGCTCCTCCTGGCCTGGGTGCCTGCTCCAGTGCTTCTCAGATAGTGGGCCAGGGGCAGCTGTGACTTCAGGTGTCATTTGTAGACTGCCTGCATGGGACGGACCGAGTAGCTCAGGGAAGATCATGGCTCTGTGTCTGTTAAAGGGCCTCCTTGAGTTTAACTCATCCTGAGAGTCAGCTGACTGTGGACTGGTGCCTCCACACCCTTTCAGCAGCTGGCATGTCGGTGTCATGACCAGTGGGGAGAAGATGCTGCGTCTGTCCTGCATGCAGTGTGGCTGCTGCTGCGAGAGTGACTGACACCAGACGCAGGGTTAGCTTAGGGACAGCTTCCTCCTGAGACATGTGAAGAAGGAGCTTACGTAAAGACGGCTTGGACGTGGATAGTCTGTTCTGTGATTTTTGCAATTTATAAATAAAACATCCGTAGAGTCACTGTTTTATAGTCACTTATCACATTTATTTCAAGGTAGCTCATTTTGTTGAAAATTTTGTTTCTGGGCCACTCTTCCATGCTCCTCTGTTGCTTCTTGCACTTTGAACTTTACGCTTACTTATTACTTACAGAAAGGTACCATACTTTCTTTTTAGTGTTTACAACTCTTAAAATAATTTCCTTAGTTTTATTCTATAACACACATAAATTTAACTTAAAGGTTTATAACTTCATTGATTTCTCTGTAATTTGTCTTTAATACATTCAAGTTCTATTTTTATCTTTAATTT